AGGAGATGAACTTTTAGAAAAATCCCCAAGTCTATCCACAGAAGTAAAATTTATATCATAGAATTTTTAAAAAATTTAAAATTTAAACTCTGTTAATGACCTTATTCAGAAAACCGAAACACAAGACACATACTGAGAAGCATTAATTTACAAAACACAAAACTGATTATGGATTTGGACTAAAATTACACCAAGAACTTTACAACAAACAACCCCAATAAACATAGGTAAAGATCTTAACAAACACCTCTCCAAAGAAAACACACAGATAGTAAATACGCATATAAAAATGTTCTCAAAAATCATATACCAGTAGGAAATTGCAAATTATAACAACAATGATATAACACTGCACACTCATTAGAACCACTGAACTCCAAAAAAGTGACATTATCCAACACTGCACCTCTAGTATTTAGACAATTGCTTTGAAAAAGTGTCCAAACAAAAACTAGCATGCAATTATGCACAGCAACTCTACTCATATTGGCTTAAAACTAAAATATGAGGATGTCCTTCCATGCATGAATATATAAGCAAGTTGGGGTACACCCATGTGAAAGAGGGCAAATGACACCCTAAAATATACCTCTTTGGCATGAAGATTACATTGGGCAGATTTCTTAAAAAATAAGACCCATAAGACTCTATGAAACCCGATTCAAAATTGTCTTTTGTGAGGCAAATTTACATTTATAAGGGAAATCTACATTTGAAAAGTAATCTCCCTTTCTGTACCAGGAATAAAAGAAAGACTAAATCTCAAAAAAACTTATCAATAGAAAAGGCTAAGATTTAAATCTATACGATGAACATAAACTTCCTTTCTTTTGGTATTAGAGAAAGATGGTATTTCAGGTGATGTCTTGGCCATTTCAGGGAATTACTCAATTTCCTGGGCATCTCCCATGCTTAAAGTAGGCACACAAGTTCTTGAACTTGTTTGTACAATTATGTAAACGTAGTTAATACCACAGAAATGTGTACCTGAAATGACTTCAATTAAAAAGTGTCATATGTATTTTTAATCAGAGTGAAAATCACGTAGGGATGTAGAACTGATACAACTTACACCATTAACAAACATTGAAAAGATCCCTAGTGAAAAGAGCCATAAAATTCTCCCAGATCACATGGTCATCGTGTGTGCTTCACATCCATCAAGGTTGTCACAGTGAGAGTCTCATTAGCAAACCCAGAAACAGAGAATAAGCAGCTGGACCAAGCGGTGACAGCTGAAGGGGCCGGCGGGTCACACAGTGATGCAGACGCCACATGGCTTCTCCACTGATGGGTTATATGATGGCTCCTCGGGAGACTAACCCTGTTTGGGGTAAAGCACCCTACGGTATTTTGTATAAAGGGACAACTGTGAGTAGTTTTTACCATCATAGAAATTACTGGAAAGTCCACTACTTTTCAAAACAACCATATCAATACCACGACAGAGAAGCTGATAAGACAGACTTCCAACCTTGTTCT